TAAAGGTTTTGATTGAACTTAATCTCGGGGTACAGCCTTGCATCGACAAGGTATTTCCATCTGATGACCTAGCCTTCTAACAAATTAGGGCGGTGGGGTAGCCGAGCATTCACTCGTCACTCCGAAGACCTGGGTTCGATTTTCCACATGGGTACAATGTTTAAAGACCATTTCTTGTGTCCCCGTCCGTGATATTGCTAGAATATTGCTAAAAGTGGCGTAAAACTAAAGCCACTCACTCAGCCAATCCAACAGCATAGCCCACTGTCCCCATTTCAACTTGACAACACGAGGCCACACGTCCATCACCTACGTCCATCGCCTACGTCCATCACCTACGTCCATCTCCTACGTCCATCACCTGCGTTCATCACTTACGTACGTCCATCACCTACGTCCATCACCTACGTTCATCACCTACGTCCATCTCCTACGTCCATCACCTACGTCCATCACCTACGTCCATCTCCTACGTCCATCTCCTACGCCCATCTCCTACGTCCATCACGTACGTTCATCACTTACGTACGTCCATCACCTACGTTCATCTCCTACGTCCATCACCTACGTCAATCTCCTACGTCCATCACCTACGTCAATCACCTAACGTCCATCACCTACGTCAATCACCTACGTCCATCACCTACGTCCATCACCTAACGTCCATCACCTACGTCAATCACCTACGTCAATCTCCTACGTCCATCACCTACGTCAATCACCTACGTCCATCTCCTACGTCCATCACCTACAGCCATCGCCTACGTCCATTACCTACGTCCATCTCCTATGTCCATCACCTACGTTCATCACCTACGTACGTCCATCACCTACGTCCATCTGCTACGTCCATCTCCTACGTCCATCACCTACGGCCATCGCCTACGGCCATCGCCTACGTCCATTACCTACGTCCATCTCCTTTGTCCATCGCCTACGTTCATCACCTACGTACGTCCATCACCTACGTCCATCTCCTACGTCCATCACCTACGTCCATCTCCTACGTCCATCACCTACGTCCATCACCTACGCCCATCTCCTACGTCCATCACCTACGGCCATCACCTACGGCCATCGCCTACGTCCATTACCTACGTCCATCTCCTATGTCCATCGCCTACGTTCATCACCTACGTACGTCCATCACCTACGTCCATCTCCTACGTCCATCACCTACGTCCGTCTCCTACGTCCGTCTCCTACGTCCATCACCTACGTCCATCACCTACGCCCATCTCCTACGTCCATCACCTACGTCCATCACCTACGTACGTCCATCACCTACGTCCATCTCCTACGTCCATCTCCTACGTCCATCACCTACGTCCATCTCCTATGTCCATCGCCTACGTTCATCACCTACGTACGTCCATCACCTACGTCCATCTCCTACGTCCATCTCCTACGTCCATCACCTACGTCCATCACCTACGTCCATCACGATTGGAAGGTCAACGTGTTCCCCAAACCAGATCGCTCTCCTGGCATGTCGTCAGAAGAACATGTCTGGTCCTTAATGACCGAAATGTAAGCTAACCATCCTACACAGAGACGTGACTTAGCGCATGTACCCCGGCACACTCTACAGGTCGTCGCGTGCATTTCAATTCCATCCATTTTGAGTGACTTTAACCAAAACCGTATTGTGTTCACATTTCGTCGTTGGTCCTTTATTCGTTGCAAGCGCATTCTAACTCCGTCCTTGTTGTCTATTAGCATATAGGATGACAAAAACGCCCTGTTTGGAATCTCGTTTTCGTCAAGCCTGTTAAATAGCGTGGTATAGTTTCTTTTGTCAATCACCTCATGTCCTTTCGTACATTACCTCATAGTATCGTTCAGTATACATACTGACAAATTGCCACATGACCTGGAGATTTACTGATTACTGTAAGATGTATATTTTTTTGTTTTAATCGTCACTGACACTTTATTATTCATGTAACTTCTTTGTCTGTTGGCGCGTTACGATTACAACATAGCCATTGGTGCTCCCAAGGAATCAATCGAAGTCTAACATGCATATTGATGACTTTGTCGGTCTCAGTAAAACTCTCCACAGCCACAAACAAAATGCCACGGGCCAAGTATCAATAGTTATCGATATTAAAATGTCTCGCTTGCATCCCAAGTACACTGTCGACTCCTCATTGTTCTCGGTGCCCTTGATTTGGTACCTCCTGATCTCTTGGCGCAAATCAGGAGAGTGCCCGGGTTCTCCACCGGGAGCACAGCCCTTCTGACACACTGGGTCATGCAGATGGCTGCAATGTTGAGGAGTCTACATATTCTTCGACTAATGGGCTCGACTAGACAGCGTTTCCTGGGAGAAGTCCCATTTGCTGTCTGGGCTGCGTGTAGAGGGGACAAGGACCCTGAGCTGATGATGAGCCTTACCAGCCTAACTGTGCCAGATCACCCGAACCCCCCTGCTGCATAATATTTTTAATCTGTAAAATATAATAATAATAAACCCAGCGGTCTGATGATGTACGCCTCTACGTGGTGGGTCTAGATAGGTTGATTTAATCCCTTGAACTAAACTTACATCACCCAGTCAGGGCTGACTCCTCGAAACTGGTTAAATACTTGGTTCCTGAAAGCCAAAAAGTACAGAATCAATCATCTCAGTAACCCAGTCAGTCTCCCCTCTGTAGTCAAACCATCAAATCTGGGGACTTGCCCCGGGGAGAGGCACAGAACCCGTCATCAACTCAATCCATACTTCTAGAATGTGTGATGGCGACAGGATGGCCAGATAATCCGCGAATAAATGACAAATTATATAAAGCAACACTGGCACAAAACCATGTCCATGAATGCATACCCGTCAGAGCAGAATATTCATGACCAGCGCCGACGACTGAAACTGTATATGCGCCATGAAATATCAGAGATAATTGCTAACACTTGTCAGGTACCTGCTGTTTCGACAGCAGCAGATCCGAAACTGCAATTGGACGACAGCATTGTTCTTCCACAATTGCCAGATGCACTTGTCGCTTACGAACAAGAAAATGAAAGCCGCCATGTTGGCCTCGAAAGTGTTTAGTTGTCTTCTGACTTCTGCCAACCTTTCTGATGATCCATTGTATATTTGTTTAGGTCATTTTACAATCAAATCTATCATTTACCGACTGAAATACGGAGGCTAACTATAAATTTAACAAATCATTTTAACAGAATCACATGAATAAATTGGATCAAAATAATTATGCCACCCTCAGTGCGGACTGTTCCTTGCACATCAGTTGTTGCAACATACAGCATACCAACTGTAACGCGGAACTGTTCATCAAAAGGAGAGGTGAGATGTGTGTATGTGTTCACAACTTGCTCTCCAATAGTATTTTTGTTGTCGTTGACTTGCAACAAAACAGACTCAGATAATACCATCATTACATGAAACACAAGCGTCTTACGAACTGCGTCAATAGGTTAGCCCAAGTGACATGAAGTCGTAATACATTTACATCGAATACAGGTCGTAATTATAACCTTCAAGATAAACGTGACAGGCGAGATTTCCGAGGTTGTTCGTAAACCTGTGGGGATTGAAGTATAAGGCACCATTGATCAGTAAGGCAATCAATGAAAGATGAATATAAAGATCTGTCAAAAAGATACTGAATTAAATTTATAGACAGCTTAAGACTGGTGTAGACTGTCATTTGCCAGTCTAAACACTGATCAAGCCTAATGAGTTGGCGTGGTATTTCGTCCACTATGTCAATTCGAGGCGAAGATATTCTTCAACGGGCATGCAACCAAACTATCTGACTTATCCTAGTGGTAATGAGCAAAGTTCAATTTTACAGGGTCTAAATGATCAGTTACAACGGTTCTGTATTTACTGGTGCTTGTGAAAGTAGTCCGTCAGTGTTTGCATCAGTGTATTACTGTCTCGGGGAAAACGTGTGGACGTCAGAATGTGTCGTCCATACACTGATCAACGTAAGTTGCGCAGATATGTGGCCGATCTCTCCTCTTTACGAAAAGACGCATATCGTTCCAATTAAAAACTACTTAGGAAACAAAAGTTCTATCTGATCGTTCACACAAAATGTTATGCCAACTGAGGCGACGAGAGTAACCTCTGTATGAACGTGATCACCACTGACATGATCCAGCATGATGGTGCTCTTTGGTGCACGATATGCCTGATCTGTCCATGTCCATGAATGAAAACGTCTAGCTATCCAGGGGCGAATACTGCCGGTAAGTTTCAACAGACCTCGTCATGACCTTTAAACATCCCGGGGGAAATCTGAGTGCATTACGCGAGATTCGATTTGCGAGATTTTATACCCAGGGTTGTCCAGGGTTTGATTAGCTGCACACGCCCTTGACAGAGTGCTCCCTATCGGGTTACTTTCACTGTGGTGGGGGCAGTTAACTGCATGTTCATTGCACTGGGGACATTTATTGTTTAATGAAAATAGATTGACAAATCGGAAATTTTGTGATAAAAATCTTTAGATGTGTTTTATAATTCAAATTATTGTTATAGTTACCAGGCAGTTGTGGGTGTAAAAACGTGACTGGTTTTCATCTGGGAGCAGCAGTACACTCAGTCAGAATGCAGCATGAAGTGTCAGTAAGACTGACCTAATGTGTAAGTATACAACGACTACCTTTCCCTCATTTTACAACACTACATCATCAATTCAGGCCTATAAGCAACTGCTATTACGTTTGTCGAAATATGTATATGTAAATGGCCACTGAACTACTTCTTACCTTCCAGGAACCTGACCCGGGTAATTCTATATTTCCTAAGGAAACCCATTGGTCGACGCTTTCAATACAAGAGACTTACTGTTCCTTTCTTTCTGAACGTTCATACCATTACAAATTCTATAACACTTCCCTCATACTACGTCTATCCTGTACCCTGCTCTGGTGTTCTCCGCCGTGATATTCCTGGAATATTGCTAAAAGCGGCGTAAAACCATACTCACTCACCCAGCTGTAGGTGGTATACGTGAACTACTTACCCTGGTATACTGTATAACTTTGCACATGACATTCCCAGCATACCAATATATGGTCACTTTGCAGATAAGGTCTATCATCACGTTTAGGGGTCCGTTCAGGAAGTCTGAAATCAACAATTATCTTAAATCACGGAGAGTATTGTAAACGTTAATCGAAGCTACATCTTAAATCACGGTGAGCATCAGGGTTTTGTAATCATTAATCGAAGCTACATCTTAAATCACGGTGAGCATCAGGATTTTGTAATCGTTTATCGAAGCTACATCTTAAATCACGGTGAGCATCAGGGTTTTGTAATCGTTTATCGAAGCTACATCTTAAATCACGGTGAGCATCAGGGTTTTGTAATCGTTTATCGAAGCTACATCTTTAATCACGGTGAGCATCAGGGTTTTGTAATCGTTTATCGAAGCTACATCTTAAATCACGGTGAGCATCAGGGTTTTGTAATCGTTTATCGAAGCTACATCTTAAATCACGGTGAGCATCAGGGTTTTGTAATCGTTTATCGAAGCTACATCTTAAATCACGGTGAGCATCAGGGTTTTGTAATCGTTTATCGAAGCTACATCTTAAATCACGGTGAACATCAGGGTTTTGTAATCGTTTATCGAAGCTACATCTTAAATCACGGTGAGCATCAGGGTTTTGTAATCGTTTATCGAAGCTACATCTTAAATCACAGGGTTTTGTAATCGTTTATCGAAGCTACATCTTAAATCACGGTGAACATCAGGGTTTTGTAATCGTTTATCGAAGCTACATCTTAAATCACGGTGAGCATCAGGGTTTTGTAATCGTTTATCGAAGCTACATCTTAAATCACGGTGAGCATCAGTGTTTTGTAATCGTTTATCGAAGCTACATCTTAAACCACGGTGAGCATCAGGGTTTTGTAATCGTTAATCGAAGCTACATCTTAAATCACGGTGAGCATCAGGGTTTTGTAATCGTTTATCGAAGCTACTGAGGAAGGTTTCATACGATATGTTGTACAAATGTGTAATTTAAAAAGAAAATGAAACCTATGACCCGTGTCAAAATCGTGAAAATGCCGGAACCTGCGAATCCAGTGTCATGAACCACACTGGAGAGCACATTCCCAGTGCCATGTACCACACTGGAGTAACACATTCCCAGTGTCATGTACCACACTGGAGTAACACATGCCCAGTGTCATGTACCACACTGGAGTAACACATTCCCAGTGTCTACCACACTGGAGTAACACATTCCCAGTGTCTACCACACTGGAGTAACACATTCCCAGTGTCATGTACCACACTGGAGTAACACATTCCCAGTGTCTACCACACTGGAGTACCACACTGGAGTAACACATTCCCAGTGTCTACCACACTGGAGTAACACATTCCCAGTGTCATGTACCACACTGGAGTAACACATTCCCAGTGTCATGTACCCAGTAACACATGTCAGTGTCTACCACACTGGAGTAACACATTCCCAGTGTCATGTACCACACTGGAGTAACACATTCCCAGTGTCATGTACCACACTGGAGTAACACATTCCCAGTGTCTACCACACTGGAGTAACACATTCCCAGTGTCTACCACACTGGAGTAACACATTCCCAGTGTCATGTACCACACTGGAGTAACACATTCCCAGTGTCATGTACCACACTGGAGTAACACATTCCCAGTGTCATGTACCACACTGGAGTAACACATTCCCAGTGTCATGTACCACACTGGAGTAACACATTCCCAGTGTCTACCACACTGGAGTAACACATTCCCAGTGTCTACCACACTGGAGTAACACATTCCCAGTGTCATGTACCACACTGGAGTAACACATTCCCAGTGTCATGTACCACACTGGAGTAACACATTCCCAGTGTCATGTACCACACTGGAGTAACACATTCCCAGTGTCATGTACCACACTGGAGTAACACATTCCCAGTGTCATGTACCACACTGGAGTAACACATTCCCAGTGTCTACCACACTGGAGTAACACATTCCCAGTGTCATGTACCACACTGGAGTAACACATGCCCAGTGTCATGTACCACACTGGAGTAACACATTCCCAGTGTCATGTACCACACTGGAGTAACACATTCCCAGTGTCATGTACCACACTGGAGTAACACATTCCCAGTGTCATGTACCACACTGGAGTAACACATTCCCAGTGTCATGTACCACACTGGAGTAACACATTCCCAGTGTCTACCACACTGGAGTAACACATTCCCAGTGTCTACCACACTGGAGTAACACATTCCCAGTGTCATGTACCACACTGGAGTAACACATTCCCAGTGTCTACCACACTGGAGTAACACATTCCCAGTGTCTACCACACTGGAGTAACACATTCCCAGTGTCAAGTACCACACTGGAGTAACACATTCCCAGTGTCATGTACCACACTGGAGTAACACATTCCCAGTGTCATGTACCACAAGGGCGTAAAATAACGCCACACCCAGCAATATTCAAGCTATATGGCGGATTGTTATATATTATCGAGTCTGGAACAGACAATCAGGTAATCAACATCATGGGAAGTTAGTTATCAACATGCAGACATGCAACCATCCATACACATACAGACACACATACCATCATACTCTGGACCTGACATTCCTAGAGCGGTGACATATGCAATCATTATTACCTGCAAGGGCTAGATGCATGATAAAGAAGTTCATCCGGGATCTTCTCCGCTCACGTGACAGGGCAATGGCGGCAAGGACAGTTGAGTTGCCGACGATGATCAACAGGAGTAGGATCACCAGAAATGCTATCTGCTCATCCTGTGATTAAAAAACCAGACATGGAGTTTGATTTATGGTCAGTTTGGACAGATGTTTTATCACCGTAATCAACCACCTGATAGAAGAAACCCATGAGTACTGGAAACCCGTGGACATGGGATTCTCACCTCGACAGTTGGGTTTGCGATTTCAGAGACGACGACTGTCCAACCGAGTCCTGACGAAAAGAATATACACATTGTAACAGGTAACACGTGATTGTTTCGACTCTTTCGACATTCATGAAGCAAACGTATCTATGATGCACAAATACTGTTTTTCTGTTAAAATCGCCTATTTTAAAGATGTTGGTATTTCAATAGACTGTGTTCAAAATCTTAAAGGGTGCACACCTGAAAAAAATCTATCATCTGTTCTTGGTTATGAACTGTGACGTTTGTCCGATTGGAGGTTGGAAACATCGTTGTTGGTCCATTTCCGGTGACGTCATACATTGAAGTGCTTCGAGGCAATGGCGTCGACCAGTTCATCTCTGGTAACTGGGTCTCGTTGAAGCCCGATGCTAAAAGCAATCTCCCTGCAACAAAAGTTGAAAACTAAATATGTCTTCGAAACGAGGTGAGGATTCTTCGCCAAATGTCCAGGGGCAATAACCTGGTGACATTTCCTTCTGTAAATTACAAGCAGGATATTTAGAGACAAAATCAACACAAAGTGGTTAATAATATTTGCAAAACGACAAAAATCACCTTGAAATGGTGTAAGTTATTCCCAAACTGTAGTTACGTTTTAAAATTCATAACACATACTTACGCAGAAAATATGAAAAAGAAAGTCCATATCATTATAAGTGGTTCAGTACAATACTTTCTTATTGCCATTGTTTGTTCCAGCCCAACACATAGCTACAGACATGATCAGGTAGTAGTACTCTTTGTGGTTTATAGTCAGCACCGGAATCGATAACACATAATGGTGCTAACATCTGAGGTTCTCTCACTGCAACAGTGAACACAGTCTCATTATATATAGTGTGAGAACAAGGCACCTGGCTCTCGAAGGATTTTTAACGTTTCTCCTAATCAATGTCTTTCTAAAGCTGATGAAAGTTTAATTTTCACTGAACATTTATGTGTGGATTATTTAGAAAATAATGACTTCCCTAATGTAGTTACCAACATTGTCTTGTTAGACTTCAATCGTGTAATGGCACAATGGATACCATTATTGAAACGGTTCTACAGCAATATTGTCGTCTGAGGGCTGGTTTATTCATTCTAAATTTGGAAAAAGGGTTGTCAAAAATCGCAAAGAGATGTCTAAATATTATTTTGAATCATTAAAACGTTCTACAAGAGCAGTGTGATTTTGTTTTTCAAACTGGATTTGTGTTTGCCTTGTTTCTGTAGTCAAGAATAAACAATGGCAATTGATTTTGCAAACTGCGTTATGGAACCACTGACATCCCTCCACAAAATGTTGAAACATTTTGTCATTTATTTAAATAAAGTTATCCCCTGATCTCTTACGGTGTTCATTAAAAACAAATACATTCTAAACGAGGGATAAACATTCATGCCTCATTCCGCTAATACTGAAGTCCAATGCCGAGGTAACGTGTAGTCTGACACATTGACAGCCATGACGACGCAACGTGTAGTTACACATTGACAGCCAAGACGTTGAACGTGTAGTTTGACACATTGAAAGCCATGACGACGTAATGTGTAGTCTGACACATTGACAACAATGACGAGGTAACATGTAGTCTGACGCATTGACAGCAATGACAACGTAACATGTAGTTTGACACATTGACAGCCATGACGAGGTGACGTGTAGTCTGACACATTGACAGCAATGACGAGGTAACGTGTAATGTGACGCATTGACAGCAATGACGAGGTAAAGTGTAGTCTGACGCACTGACAGCCATGACAACGTAACGTGTAGTTTGACGTATTGACAGAAATGACGAGGTAACGTGTAGTCTGACACGTTGACAGCCAAGACGACGTAACGTGTAGTTTGACACATTGATAGCCATGACGAGGTAACGTGTAGTTTGACACATTGACAGCAATGACGAGGTAACAAGTAGTTTGACACATTCACAGCCATGACGAGGTAACATGTAGTTTGACACATTGACAACAATGACGAGGTAACGTGTAGTCTGACGCATTGACAGCAATGACGAGGTAACGTGTAGTTTGACACATTGACAGCCATGATGAGGTAACATGTAGTTTGACACATTGACAGCCATGACGAGGTAACATGTAGTTTGACACATTGACAGCCATGACGACGCAACGTGTAGTCTGACGCATTGACAGCCATGACGACGCAACGTGTACTTACACATTGACAGCAATGCCGAGGTAACGTGTAGTTTGACGCATTGACAGCAATGACGAGGTAAAGTGTAGTTTGACGCATTGACAGCAGTGACGACGTAACGTGTAGTTTGACGCATTGACAGCAGTGACGACGTAACGTGTAGTTTGACGCATTGACAGCAATGACGAGGTAACGTGTAGTCTGACGCATTGACAGCAATGACGAGGTAAAGTGTAGTTTGACACATTGACAGCCATGACGACGCAACGTGTGGTCTGACGCATTGACAGCCATGACGACGCAACGTGTACTTACACATTGACAGCAATGCCGAGGTAACATGTAGTCTGACGCATTGACAGCAATGACGAGGTAACGTGTAGTTTGACACATTGATAGCCATGACGAGGTAACGTATAGTCTGACGCATTGACAGCCATGACGAGGTAACGTGCAGTCTGACGCATTGACAGCAATGACGAGGTAATGTGTAGTTTGACGCATTGACAGCCAGTGCTCGCCATGGCTTAGCCTGCTTGTGTAGTCCCAACACCTGTGGCTGCTCCATACTAGCCTGCAATGCTTTCTCCTGTAAAATGGCTCTCAAGTCCTTATGTAATAGCAAAATGCTGTCTCGTTAACCCCAGTGGCTGCTCCATAGCAAAATGCCACATATAAATCTATGTGCTGCTCCTGTAAAGTGTGTCTCAAATCTATGCAGTAGCTGCTCCTGGCTCTTATGCAATGTAATCCTAATGAATCTATGTGAAATGCCAATGTTATTTGCTTAGAAGTAACAATCATAACAGAGTAATATATGAATTTAATATAGACCTTAATGAAAATAAAATGCTGTCTTAAGTCAACAATGGCTATATATAGCAAAATGCAATGTAAAATCCTGATACATTAATGCTCAATAGCAAAACGTGTAGATTTAGCCTTATTAAAATACATAATGCTTATGTAAGTAGAGACCTTGTGGCAATAGCAAAGGAAGTATGTGTGAATCCTGGCTCATGCCACTGTGAGAGTACATGTGATGTAGTTTGGCAATATTAACAATGTCTAGGAAATGCTTGTGTAGTCAGCTTATTAGTAACAATAGCAAAGTGGCAATGTAGTCCTAGTATTAAGAAACAATGCAAAGTACTTGATGTGAGTCTAACACATTGACAGCCATGGCGAGTAATGTGTATGTATTACATTGACAATAAGGCATGATTGAACAGTATAGTTTGAGCATTGTGAGAGCAACAATAGCAAGGCCTTGATGTGGTGCACCACATTGCAGCTCATGGCGAGGTAATGTGTGAGTCCTGGCGCGTGACAGCAATAGCGAGCGTAAAGGGTGAAGTCCAGCACATTGACAGCCATAGCGAAATAGCTTGTAGTGGTTGGCCGCGTGACAGCAATGGCGAGTGTGATGTGGATTTGGCAATATTGACAGCCATGACAATATAGCAGTATGGTTTAGCTGATATTGACAGCAATGACAAAGATGCGTGATGAATCTGGCGCGTGACAATGACGAGGTAACATGTAGTCTGACGGTATTAATACATGACAGCGTAGCGTGTAGTTTAGCGTATTGACAACAATGACGAATTGGCAGTGTAGTTTGACATATTGATAGCCATGACAATGATGCCGCGGTGTAGTTTGTATGTGGCAATGGCAGTGCGGTGTAGTTTGACATTGGCAATATGGCGGTATAGCGTGTACTTACGTGGCAGCAATGGCGAGTAGCGATCGCCAGGTTTGGTACATTGATAGCCATGGCGAGGGTATTAATGCGCGAAGTCTGACGCATTGACAGCAATGGCGAGGTAACATGTAGTCAGCGCGTGGCAGCCATGACGAGGGTAGCGTGTAGTCCTGGCCGCGGTGACATAATGGCGAGGGCGATACGGTCTGGCGGTGAAGCAAACAATGGCGAGGTAATGTGGCGGTTTGGCGCATTGACAGCAATGGCGAGGTAATGTAGTCTGACGCGGTGGCCATGGCGAAGATGCCGATGTGATCTGGCCGCATTGACAATAGCGCTTAGCGAGGGTAGCGTGTAGTCTAACATTTAGAAAGCCATGGCGGCCAGTAATGTAGTCACGGTACAATACATGGCGGTATAGCGAGTGGTTTGGCGCGGTGACAACCATGATGGGGTATGGTGTGAGTCTGACACATTGAAGCGAAGCCATGGCGAAGTGCTGATGAGTCTAACACATTTGAAGCCATGGCGGCGTAATGTGGCGAGGTCTATTGAAGTGCATTTTATCCTTGAAAGCGGCGATGTGAATTGGCGCATTGACAACCATGAAGGCGGTAGCGATGTACTTACTCGTGACGGCAATGCGAATGCGTGGTTGGCGCGTGACAGCAATGGCGAGATTAAAGAGATGTAGTTTGGCGCGTGACGGTAATGACGGTAAATTGTAGTTTGGCGCGTTGACAACGGTGGCGGCGTAACGTGTAGTTTGGCAACATTGACAGCAATGGCGAAGGTAGCGTGGATCTGGCGGTGACAGCAATGGCGAGGTAAAAGTGTGGTTTGACACATTGAGCAATATGACGGCATAGCGTGTGGTCTGGCGCATTGACAATATGGCTGACATAGCGTTATTACTTACATTGGCAACAATACCGGGGCGGCGTAAGTCCGACGCATTGGCAGCAATGTGAGGTAGATGTGGTTGACCGCATTATTAACCATGGCGAATTAGCGATATAGTCTGGCGTGAAACCATAGCGAAATGCCAGTCCTGAGAATCTAGCAATATGCTCATAGCTCTTATGCAATGTAATCTAGCAATAATAATACAAAATGCTGTGTAAAATCTAACATTAACAACTCCGCAACAAAATATGTAATCCTTGCATGCTACTGCTCCATAACAATGTAGTCTAGCGTAATAACAATACGAAATGCCAGTAATCTAGCTTATTAACCTGCCCGCAAAATGCAATGTAATCTAGCCGCAATGTAGCCGCCATACGAAATGCCAATGTATTCAACCCTATTAACTATATAGCAAGTAATAGATTTAACCACAATAACAACCATAGCAGCATGCGTATTATTTAACTACTTGTGTATATGGTAAAGTAACGTGTAATCCCCAACACATTATATACTTAACAACATACTTAATATTATTTAATACATTAACAATCATAGCAAAGTATATATATATGAATTTAACCATTAACAACGAAATACTTATCTCGTTAACACAT